TATGCAGGAAATAACTCCAATCGTGTAATTCCTCTAAACAACAAACCTACAATCTAAAAAAAAATTAATACCAGGAAGCTGGAACTTGTGGAGAGAGGGGGCTGAGGTCAGATGAGGGAGATGAATAGAGAAGGCTAAGAGAATGCAGTGATAATAATCCATGCATATATTTGAACATAGAACTGGGGAAGTTGAGGGGATGGGGGGGGTTGAGAGAGATGTGGGAGAATGATAAAAGGGGTGACACTGATCAAGATGCATTGCACTGTAGGCCGCCCGTGGCTCACATCTGTAACGCCAGCTACTCAAGAGGCTGAGCATCATGGTCCAAAGCCAGCCCAGGCAGGAAAGTCCATGAGACTCTTATGTCCAATTAACCATCAGAAAACCGGAAGTGGAGGTATGGCTCAAAAGTGGTAGAGTACTAGCCATAAGCAAAAGCGCTCAGGGACAGCGCCCCATGACGGACCAAAAAATATGCAGGGCTGGGAATGTCGCTTAGTGGTTAGAGTGCTTGCCTAGCATGCATGAAATCCTGAGTTTGCCTCCTCAGTACCATATACACAGAAAAGGCTGGAATTGGCACTGTGGTTCAAGTGGGACAGTGCTAGCCTTGAGCAAAAGAGCAGCTCAGGGACAATGCCCAGGCCCTGAGTTCAAGCCCAGGACTGGCAAAAACAGAAACACAAAACAGGATGCCAATTTCCCCAAAGTCCACTGTTCTACAGCTGTACATGGAAAAAAAAAAAAGGTCATTTTTTTTTTACCTGGACCAACCAACACACTTTCTAACAAGTTACAAAGGGGAAATTCATTTCCAGCCTTTCCCTATGTGCTAGACATCTCCTTTGCCAGCCTCTGTGCTTTTGCCCAGGCAGCTATGTGTTCTGGGGGCTCTGTGGGCACTGCCCAGCGGTGGGCAGTGGAGTGTGTCCAGATCTGACACTCCATATCTAGGCTTCCCCATTACGCACTTGCTTCCTAGTGTAAGAAAACTTTTCAGCTGTAGTCCTAGCTACTCAGGAGGCTGAGTTCTAAGGATCACAATGCAAAGCCAGCCCTGGCAGAAAAGTCCCCTGGGACTCTTCTCTCCAATTAATCACTCAAAAACCAGAAGTGGTGCTCTGGATCAAGAGGTAGAATACTAGCCTTGAGCACAAAGAGGCTCAGGGACAGTGCTAAGGCCCTGAGTTCAAGCCCCACAAAAGAAGGGGAAAAAGTTTTAAGTCTAAATTGTCGTGCAGGGAAAGGATATCACACGTACAGACAGGAAACTACTTGACAAAAACAATAAAAACAATTTTCTAGTGTATAGTTGTTTGACCATAGCCTATTGGCATGTGTCCAGTAAAAATGTATGAGCACATTGATTACTTCTGCTTTCATTTATTATAATTAGTGATAGGATCTTGCTGTGGAACCTATACTGGCCTTGAATTTGATTACAGGTGTTCACAATGACATCTGGCTAATTACTTCCTTTAATACCTGTTTCCTGTGACCCATGCAACAGAGCTGATAAGCATCATTAGCACTGTTTCTTCAATAATGGGAAGAAATGGCTGGATTTCACTTGAGTTTTCAAGTTGGTAAGTTATTAATTTTGTTAGGCCTACTGTGTATAAGGTTGATTCGAAGTTGATTTATGCTACTACTACTTATTTTACAGTTACAATTTGGGGTCCCCTTTCCTCCCCCTTTCTGATTCATTCCTGGCTTGGCTGCAGAATTAGATAAAGGAAGTTTTTCCATTGAAAGAGCTGCAGAACTTTACAATAGCAGCTTCTAGAATGGTAGCCATGAATACCAGTGATTGGTTTATCAGTCTGTTTAAGTGGCTTTCGTGTGTTTTGGATTTTTTTGCCAGTCCTGGGACTTGTACTCAGGGCCTGGGCACTGTCACTGAGCTGCTTTTGCGCAAGGCTGGTACTGTACCACTTGAGCCACAGCACTACTTCTGCCTTTTTCTGTTTAGGTGGTACTAAGGATTTGAACCCAGGGCTTCATGTATGCTAGGCAAGCACTCTACCACTAAGCCACATTCCCAGCCCATAAATGGCATTTAGAATCATATCATTCTGTTCATTTTAAGGAGTTAGCTTCAATGAAATGTCGCAATTTGTTCTTAAAAGCATTTAAAGCTTTGCAAATGCATAGATTTCATGAGGCAGCTGTCAAAACTCTCCAGGCTTCCATGGGTGCAATAGCGCAGTGCTTTTCACTTGCATCTCAAGTTTAACTATAAATCATTAGTTTCCTTTGAGCTCATGTGTGAAGTCTCTTCCTGTGGTGGTGGAAGTAATAAGAAAGTTGTTACGAAACTGTGATGTCACGTGGGATTCAAATTTTTCTGTTGGAATCACCCATTACTCCTTCACGACTTTTCTTTCAAAAGCCACACCAACCTTGTGTTATTGCTCACAGATCTCTTAATACTGCTGCAGCCTTACAGCAAACCATGGGGGCAAATGGCTGCCGCCCAGCCAGGTGTACCCACGTGACAGTCAGATGGCCACCTTTAACTGAACAGGTATTGTCAGCAACCCTAGAAACACAGCTCAAACCAGGAGGAAAGCAGCTGCTCAGGAGGATCGATGTCCCAGCTGTGACTTCAAAGGCTCAGCTCCCAGAGAGCCTGCTGCTCTACCTTCTCCCTGGCACAAAGTTCTACTAAGTTTGCCCCAGGAGAGGGAGCTAAGTCGCAGGCAGGTGTTGGCGGTGTATGTGGAGTCCTGTCTTCTCTCAGTACTGCAGTTTGGCAGAAGAGCCAGCACTGCAACGCGCCTGGCCAGTGATCAGTTGAGGAAAAATTACTCTGGATAAAATAAGGAAAAGTTGAAGATTGAATTTGTAGAACAACTCACTCATAGGCCACACTGTCCATTTTCTCCAGCATTACTTTTATTTATTGTTGGTTGTGGGGCTTGAATTCTGGGCCTGGGCACTGTCCTTGAGCTCTTTAGCTCAAGGCAAATGCTCTACCCCTTGAGGTACAGCACCACTTTTAGTTTTCTGGTGGTTAATTGGAGAAAAGAGTCTCATGGACTTTCTTGCCCCGGCTGGCTCTGAACCATGATCCTCATATCTCAGCCTCCTGAGTAGCTATGATTACAGGCCACCAGCGCCCCGTATGGAGCTGGCACTGGGGCTTGAACTCAGGGCCTTAGGTAGTAACTGTTAAGTTTTTGGCCCAAGGCCAGTGCTCATCCCCTTGAGACACAGTGCCCCCCTTTTTTTTGTCTGGTTAATTGGAGATAAGTCTCACAGACATTTTTCTGCCCGGGCTGGCTTCAAACCAGAATCCTCAGATCTCAGCCTTCCGAGTAGTTAGGATTACAGGCATGAGCCACTAGTGTCCTGCTCACTATTTTGTAATGGGTTCTAAGACCTATTAACAGAAGAGTTGAATGGGCTTTGGACAAGCCCTAGCTCTCTAATTTCTATCCTACATCTATCTATTCTTGATGAACGATGTATCAAAACTGCTTTCTTTCTAAAACCCACAAGAACTACCACCTTCTCATTCTCCACGGAGGTAATCCTGCAAGGTCACCTCCCCTAGAACTTGGGTGACTTTTCTAATTCTTTCTAGAAGACCATGGTAGCAGCTTCAGATTCTTTCACTACCCGGTTCATGTACATTAAGACACAACTTTTGAATGAAGTTCTAACTAGGTCTGAATATGAAACTTTTTATAACAAGTAGGTCCCCTTGAATGCAGTCTTTTTTTTTTTTTCCTGGTTCAAGTTTAGGACTAAATGAAGAGGAATTGGAGAGGTTCCAGAGGACAGTAATGAAAATGATTAAAGGGCTGATGATGAAAGGTTGAAAGAATTGGGATTACTTAGCCTGGAGAAATCTGAGGGGTGATTTAATGGCAATCTTTAAGTACGGCATGGGGATGGTTATTATAAGTATGGTAGCCAGCTGTTTCCCAGCTGTACTGTTAAGGTTAAAAAGGGAAAAAATAACTAGAATTTCAGAGAAGGATTTAAGCTATGCCAGTGATATCAGTGATCTCAAACTAGCCCAAGGGGTGGGCAAACCATTATGGAAGGCTATGAAATAAAGACATTTTTAAAGTATAGAGTTTCTGCTAAATCAGATATATGCAAGAAGTACAAAAGCTTATGGTAAAAATGAGGAATATAAGCCCAAGATTGGGAAAAATGCTGACTGTGGGAAATGGGTCTGGGTGACCAGCTGCCTTTGCTGCTGGACCTCATGACTGGGGGAGTCCAGGATGAGCCCCAGCAAGCTGTGAAGAGGAAAGGTAGCTGGAGAGCAGGAGATGGAGATGTCATGGTGTAATTTGTGGGGCTCAGGGAGCAAGAGAACCCTGATATTTGGATCCTCTTTTTTTTGGTCCAGTCGTGGGGCCTGAACTCTGGGCCTGGGCGCTGTCCCTCAGCTCTTCAGCTCAAGGCTAGCGCTCTACCACTTGAGCCACAGCACCACTTCCGGCTTTTTTTTTCTTATGTGGTGCTGAGGAATCGAACCCAGGGCCTCATGCATGCAAGGCAAGCGCTCTACCACTGAGCCACCTTCCCAGCACCATGGACCCTATTTTCTTACACGGTACTAGGGCTCAAACTTAGGGCTTCATGCACTATCTTGGCTTTTTTGCTCAAAGCTGGTACTCTACCACTTGAGCCAAAGCTCTACTTTTGGTTTTAGCTGATTAATTGGATATGAGTCTCTTGGATTTGGCTTCTTAGGTTGGCTTTGAACTGGGATCATCAGGTCTCCTAGTTACTCATGGAGAATACAGTGACATGAACCACAGCACCTGGCTTGACCTTGCTCTTTTTATACCTGGCAAGAACGCAGGCCCAGAGAGCATGGGAGGTACGCTTTCTGACAGGTGGTGGGGTACAGTGCACCCCAAAGGCTGAGGAGACATGCGGAAGGGTATCCTTACACATTGCCAAGCTCTGGCCAGTGGCTTCCGTTCATGACCAATTCTATCTTCTCAGGAACTGTATTCTTAATAAATTGACACTTTTAAAAAATGTTTTATTACAAAGCTGCTTTTTAAAAAATGCTCAGCACGTTAACTGAAACTGGAATGACAAACAGGAGATGACAGTTCAGAGCAAAGGCTGTGCCTTGCTGTTTAAAAATAATGGGTTACATCAATGCTCATCTTAAACAACTGGCATAAAATCCCACTAATCGGCTAATAAAAACAGATACAAATACAGAACATTTAAAAGTAATAACAATTCAAGTGCTGGGCTTTTTTACAAGAAGGGAGTGAAAAGGAAAACATGAAAATGTTAACTGCTTTGCTGCGAATATTTGTTACGGTTTATCCTTGGAGGAAAAAAAAATGTTAAAAATCAGGAGAAAAAAAAAAGTAATCAATCTGCCGACAGAATGGATCTGGCTATGATGTTTATTTAGCTCCATCAAAGACACAGCTCTTACAAGAACACAGGCCACTAGGTACAGAGACGAGATCTCAAAAAAAAAAAAGGGGGAAGTCTCAATTTTCATTTTGTTTTTATTCCAAACTCCGGCCTTTGTATTTTATTGAAAAACTCAGAGCTAGCAACATATACAACAAGAAAAAATAAAACTAAAAAAAAAAAAGTAAATTAAAAAAATTCAAGTTAAAAAAAAAAAAGCAAACATGAGATCGATCTTGCACTATTAAATAAAAGCTTTGCGAGAAAGAAAGCCGAAGGAAGAGCTTGGGAGCTCTGGTAAGTCCTGCGCGGGGACGCTGATGCTGCTGTGGGTTGCTGGATTCAGTTCCATGTGGCAGGTAGAGTTGGCCAAGTCACTGTCCTTGCTGGAGGGGGTGACAAGTATGCACGCAAGGTGCTCTGGGAAGTGCATTCAAAGAGAAGGAATGAAAAAGCCGTTCAGCTGACGGTGCCTGCTAGCATTCTCATGTGCTTTTTAATTTTTTTTTTTAAAAAAACCTTATGTTTTTGGAACTTGGCTCTTGCAGTAGATAGAAGGGGGCATCGGCAGTGATTGTCTTTATGGAAAAGCGTCTCTAACAGCAACCTCAGTTGTCAGTTGGTGTCAGTCAGTGCTCCTTCAGGGTCAGCTGGACAAGCCGTGGAGACAGTCTGGATTTTCAACAAGCTTCCATCTCCAGAAGAGGTCCTGGGGTCGCTGCCTTGGCTTTGCACGTGGGGAATGAGCTTCGTTTTCCACCTCAAGAAGGAACAAATGAAACGCAGTTAATAAGAAATGTGCCACGGGCCTTTAAAACAGTGTCTGTGCATGTCACCACCTACTCGTTGCTCTGGTGATGGTTCTAAAAAGAATCACCCCTTGGCAGCCCAAATTCCTCAGCATACATCATGGAACAAAGACAATGCTTTTTGGCTCTGGCTCCCTGCAGTACAGTTCTGAGCAAACAGGTATAAAGGAAGTCGGGTCTTGGTAACAAATGGAAACAATAAAAATAAAACTCAGGAGGAAATGGCCAAACTTGAATTTGACACAGGGAAAGGTTATTCTAAAGTGTTATGCTTGTTTTGGCCACTGGGGGGAGCTCTTGCACGCCTCTAAAGGACTAAAAGCCTTTCATGATCCAGTGCACCACGGAGCCCAGGTAGAGACAAGCCCAGCGTACCAAGTGCATGTTCTGGTCTTATAGTCCCAGGAATGTACACTTCTATTTTCAGATCTTATATTCCTCATCTTCATAACAATTAAAATCTCTAGGGCAAACCTTGGAATGAACACTCCCAAATGACTTGGAAAAATGATTTTCATAAAGAACTTCATATATTGAAAAGCTTTCCTGGTCTGAGCTTTAAAAAAGTAATTCAAAGTAAAATGTAACTTCCTAACAAGGAGAGATGGAAAGCAAACAGCACTTGGAAGTTCAGATCCTTTCAATCCAGATAATAGTCCAAGCACTTCTCTTTCCTTGGGACCTGGTAGGCTTCAAGTTAACCCTCAGTCTCCCCCTTATGATCATGGTCTCCTCAGAATTAAACAAAGTCCTCCTTTAAAAGGTTAATTCTGGCTGAATTCTGGTGGCTCATACCTGTAATCCTAGCGACTCATGAGTTTGGATCAGAAGATCAGGGTACAAAGCCAGCCTGGACTGGAAAGTCCATGGAGACTCTCACCTCCAATTAACCAGCAAAAAGCCAGAAGTAGAGCTGTGGTTCAAAGTGGTAGAGCACCGGCCTTGAGCACAAAAAAACCTCCCAGGCCCTCAGTTGAAGCCATTGGACTGGCACATACAAATACTCTGAATAATAGTGGGAACGCTGAATGCTTTTGAAGTGAATAGAAGTTAGATGAAAAATGAAACTGATTTTTTTTTAAAGGAAGGAAGTCATCTCTAAAGCATTTGCATGGCAGAGTAATGTATGTGATACAATGCAGGCACCTGCCCCACACTGAGGGATCTTACAAAGTGCAGGGTGAACAGTGCGCCTGCAGCTCTGTCCCTCAAAATGACTGCCCTCAACTGTGAAGAAACTTCATATACCTGGGTAGCCTTCAGCTACTGGGAGGAAAAACATAAAATGGGAGCGTATCAGCCACAGAATGTTCTCACCTGAGAATTCAATGGTATTTCGGGTCTTATTCTGCAAAACTAACCTTTCCCTGTTTAACAGGAAAGCACACTGTAGCGCCATGAGAGGTTGGTTTTGTTTTGTTTTTAACAAGGATACAAATCCTTAACACAGCAGATCAAAGAGGTAGGAAGGACCTAGGTTTCCAAGCAGACAGGAACAGGAGTCAAGCAGAGACTGGGCTGGGCTGTAGGGCACCCCGCAGATTCTTATTTACATTGTACTTCTTGCAGGCAGGACTTCCAAAGGCTTTGGTCTAGCTTGCGCTTCCTGGCCAGGTTTTCCTCTCAGACTGACCTGACAATGTGCAGTTTCCTAACAAGGACTACCGGGTCTGAGCAAGCTGCTGGGTGGCCGGCCAAAGGCAGCTGGGAATATGTGCTACCGAGAGATTGCCTGTCCCTCTGTAGGTGTGTCCCCAACTGATAACCTTACGTCCCGAGATAGAGCTCACATGGCCCTCTTTTGGAAGCAGGCCTTGGACACTGCCCATCTGCAGTGCCTTGCTCCATAGTGGAGTCCTTGTCTTTCCTACCAGAACTTTTTCTTCCTTCTTGAACTGACTGCAGTGAGTTCACTAGATGCCAATGGCTCCGCTCCCACCTACTCAGAAGGCTGAAATCTGAGGATCTTGATTTAAAGCCAGTATGGGCAGCAAAGTCCAAGAGACTATTTTCAACTAACCACCAAAATGCTAAAAGTAGACCTGTGGCTTAAGTGGTAGAATGCTAACCTTCAGCAAGAAGCTAAGGCCCTGAGTTCAAGTCTCCCCCTCAAAAAAAGCACCCCCCCCCAAATGAAAAACCACCCCACGGTGATCAAGACAAATAAATATGGCTGCCCAGCAAGGGCTGGGCTCCAAGCACAGGTGTGATTTGACTGGAGAGATCTTCACAGCTGCTGAGGAGATCGCTCCCTTCTTTCTACACCCATGATTTTGTGCCATTTGCCACCATCGCGCTGTACCCATCACTTTGCAAATCCACTTGACGAGCTGGCCTAAGAGAGCTGTGCTGCGGCCTGCAGAAAGGGACCGATTTCCTCCAGGGTGCTTTCAGAGCCATGAACTGTGCCTTTAAAGTGGTGGGGTTCCCTTCCTTCCTGCTCTACAAGGCCCAATTGTCCTCAGCCGCTTTGCCTGAACCCAGAGGTCAAAGCCAGGCAGACCAATTCTTACCTTCAAATGGGAGCAGCGGGGCCTGCAAGCATGGCTTTGCAGATACAAAAACGGGTCAAATCAAGATTTCTTTTCAAGAAACCACAGGCATGAGGCTCTGGAGTCGGGAGACTTCCCACATCTAAGCCTGCACTGGGGGGCTGCGGGCTCAGGCTGGTCCAGGCCCCGGCAAAGCCACACCCACGTGAGGCTGTGCAATCAAAGACGCAATTACGCCTCCAGCCGCCGCTGGCTTCAAAGGCCGGGCAGTGTCTTACAGATGTGAAGGCTGGGACCCCTCCCAGAAGTCAGCGCTCTGCCATTTGGGCAGTAGACTGAGCAGCACAAGACCCCCCCCCTCCCCAAACCTCACCCCACTGGGAGCCCTAGATGCTCTTCTGGACCAAACTCTTCACCAAATGGCCTCAGGAGTGTTAATGAGCAATAATTTGCGAAGACCTCAGGTGGCCACATTTCAAAGATTCAGGTGTGGCCCCGCCCTGCGTCATTCGGCTTTTCAGGCCTTGACGCCCAATGTGGAAATCCCTTTTCTGTATGTACAGAAGTTGTTTAACAAAACCAAACTAGTAAGAGCAAAAGGTGCCAGACCAGTTCATCATGCAGTCCTCCAGCCCAGCCTTCTGGCTGGAGAGACCACACAGTAGTGGCAGAGAGCAGTCAAGCTGGCCCTCAGTACCGCCTGTGCTCAATGATCACTGCAGCTTTTCAAGGTCACATCCGAGACAACAAAGCTGGTCCTAGTGACACAAATGCAGTTGTCTCCTCCTAGATGTCCTTGCTCAGGCTTGGAGAGGAATCTCAGTGGGCTGTCATCAGAGACCTTTGCCTGTCCTCCTCCAGCGGTTCCCCGGCTAGCAGGGCGCAGGGACCTCCAGGTGGTTTTAGTTAAGTGTGAGGGGAGATGATTAAGAGTTTGGTGAGAGGTATAGAAACAAAACAGTCTAACCTCAAGAAGTGTCTGACAGCAGTAAGGTGCAGGTCATGTCCTCAGTCTGGGGCAAAACTGACCCACGTCTGTTATCTGAGGGCGTGATCTAAGTTACACGCGGCTGTGTATGCGAGGAGGGGAAGTGCGGCCTTCCAGAGCGGGAAGAGGCAGGACAGAGCCAGTGAGGCCGTGTCCTGCGAGTGGAGGAGACTGGGCCGTGTATTCATAAAGCCATCAGCTCAAGGCAACCCCCGGTGTGGCCCAGTGGCCATACCTGGACCAGAGCCTCCTTGACTTTTAGGTGGGGAGGGAGGGAGGGAGGGAGGGATTGATCTGGTGACACTCTGGGCCAAGCACAGAGATGCACCAAAGCAAAGGCCAAGTGAGCTGAATCACCCAGCCCTCTTGCCACTAAACTGAAGTTAAATCACTTTTTGGTTGCTGTTGGTCAAGGGGCTTGAACTCAGGGTCTGGGTGCTGCTCCTGAGCTCTTTTGTCCAAGGGCTAGCACTTTACCACTTTGAGCCACAGCTCTACTTACAGCTTTTTGGTGATTAATTGGAAGCAAAAGTCTCACAGATTTTCCTACCCGGGCTGTCTTTAAACTGCAATCCTCTCATCTCAGCCTCCTGGGTAGCTAGGATTACAGGCATGAGTGACCAGCGCCTGGCTTTACTCTTTTCTGCCTTTCCTGTCTGTCCATCACTAGACAATAGTACCTTTGTCCTGGTGATTCTAACCCCCAAGGCACCACACCCATGCTCTGTCTGAAGACAGGGTGAGGAAGGGAACCAAATGCCTGTAAATTGTGAAGCCTCAACTCTAAACTACAAAAGCCAGCTTCACCCCCTTGGCACTTGGTATTTGAGAAAAGGAATCATGGAAACATGTGGAGGTGCAGGAGGGTGCATTTTGCTTCTGCAGGTAAATCCTTGATCTAACCATCTGGACTGGTAAGTGCCTAGCCGCATAGTGCAGAGGCATATTCCCAGAGGCAGGAGGAGGGAGGGGAGGGAGGGGCCTCAGCCCTGCCCATGGACTCAGGTTGGACCACAGAAGGGCCACAGCATGAGCATCTTCCCCTCCCCCAGTATCTAAAGTGACTTAAGACGGATGATGTCCGGGCGACTCAGAGAAAGGCCTGTGAGTAGGAATGAAGGAATCCAGGGAAATTGTGGGTTTCTACCTACAGCTACACCCACTAAGCTGAGTGGCATCTGTGAGGCTGAGCGGGGCTGACTCCAGGCAGGTCAGACTCAAATGCCTGAGACTCCGGAGCTATGTTCTTAAAGGTATGAATAAGGAAGCTCTAGAAGCCCGTGCCAGGTGCCAGTGATTCACACCTAACTAACTAGAAGGCTGAGATCTGAGGAACACAGTTTGAAGCCAGCCCAGGCAGGAAAGCCCATGAGACTCTTATATCCAGTTAAGCACCCAAAGGCCAGAAGTAGAGGCGAGGTGTAAGTGGTAGAGCTCTAGCCTTGAGCAAATAATGCTACAGGACAGTGCC